TCCAGTAAAGATTATATACAAAAAAATGAGCTATTAAATGTCAAGCATCATAAAAACTGATCTATTAAAATGTTAAGCATTAATAATGATTAAAATAATTATGTAAAATTAACTTCCTGACATTATTATTACTCCAAGCCAAATTTGAACATTTATTTTGCATTTTTCATTCAAAAAAGCTTGAACATGTGATATTATAAACTCGTAATTTTATTGAATAATTATCACGTGTTCATTTTTTTGAATTTGAGACTGAATCACGTGATTTGATGTGACTAGATTATATGCACTGTATAACTTTTAACAAACCATAACGTCACGTGATAATACATGTGTAACGCGAAAATTCAAAACAAACGCTGATTTGCGATTTGATTGGTCGATCAACACACATGAACACATTTCATGTCGATCTTGAAGTTGTTGATAACTCGAAGTCGCGTCGTTCAATATTTCGTATGCAATATGTCTGTATCGACATTTACATCGAGGCCAAGCTCGAAAATGACAAGCTTAAATTCTGCAACTTCTTTTATAGAGTTTCTTAAAACCTTAAAATATCCCAATGCCTCAGAATTACTTCCTGAACAACTATTATGGGCTACTGAACAGCCTTCAACACGCGTCTTGCTAGACTGGTTATGTCAGTTTGTTGACCCTGACAAGAATGTAGTAAATAAAGAAGAGGAAGATTCAACAATATTGTATGTATTTATCTTTGAGTGCCTTATGTATAAATTTCTTTAGATTTTGTAAAACGGGAATTCTTCCGGTAATGTGTGTACTTATTGCTGGTATTAATTTTATATATCAGGAAACAGATTGAATCTCTTGAAGTCCAACTCGATCCCTTAACTAAACATCACGATTATCTACTTAGTCAAAAGAATCAATTGAAGTAAGTAAGTATGTAGGATTGGATTGTGTTATAATAATCATCGTATCGATTTTAATATAATCATCGTGTCGATTTTAATATTATTCAATATTTAATTTCTGTGAACAAATATACAGATTAAAATTGAATGGCCTGGAAAAAGAGTTGGAAAATTTTCAGAAAGTCAATTTAGATCTAGATGACAAAAATCGTGAACTGAACAAAAATATCGAACAAGATTCAATTAAGGTATTTAAGTGAGATAAAGAGATAGACTCGTCCTTTTCCTGCACATTTCACGTTAATTCTAAGTCTATGCATTAAAGCATAATAATTCCTATTCATAAATTTTTATTCTTAACTGAATAAACTTCAGCTGGACTTGAATATGGCCGACACGATTAATGTCGTAAAAGAAATTGTAATGGATCGTAAAATCCAAAATGGAAAAGGTATTCTTGATAATTATCAAGTCAAACTAATTCAAAATCTTTTACTAATGGTGATTGAGTTAGGTAAAATACGAAGAAATTATATATTTCAATGTTCAAATGCACTCAAAGAATTCTTGGAATATGATCAAAGTTTTACCAAAGAATTGGAACAACACTGTCAAAGTCTTTACTTGCCGGTAAGCAAACTTAATCTTTCAATGTTAAAGTATGCTCGTGATTAATAATCTTTTTAATTCTAGTGTCAGCAAGATTTATCCAATGGAGTTGATTTAATCGATGAGATTACCAGATTAAAGTCCATGTAAGTAAACTCTAATTACTGCATTCTCCTCATCATGTTGTTTGGCTTAATATTCATGAATTGATTATAGGTATCCTATCACTGAGCGAAAATTTACAAAGGCTGCTTTAGAACACGAACGTCTACTGGCATATTTGAATATTCTACAAAATGAAATTCCCCGCATTGACGCTTATAATCCAGATTTTGAAATTCTTCGGTGAGCTTGACTACAAATACAAAATAGTAATAAAAATGCATTTATTTTTAATGTTATGAAAATGAATTTATCTAATTATATTTTCTTCTAGTTCTAAACATCAACAAAATCTCAAATTAATAGAATTCGTCGACGAACAAGTCAAAGGTATTCTACTGAGAATTGAAGAATATTTGAGTATATTAGCCGAGATACAAATTCAGAATCCGATTTTTATTGCTGATAATCAGAGAAAATCTGTGCTGCAAATGACCATAAACAAGAATTTGGAACATGTAAGTGAAAAGTTCAAAATATTAATGAGAAGCTTCGAGCGATTTGTAATCATCACATTCCCATTCCCTTATAATTCTTTAACTTAAGCACATTTGTAGGTTGTTGATCTATTGTTATCCCAATACGCACGACTTCAATTGTTGAACCAAGCGGAAAATATTGAATTTGAAAATCAGAAAACAGTTCACCAATTACTTATTCATAATAAAGATGAATTACAAACAAGGTTAGAGAGTACTCGGAAGCGAATGGTGAGTATTTTTTAGTTATTTAATATAACGCAGGGATAGATAAAGAACTTTTTCTTGTTTTCTAAGTGAGCCTGATTTTATTCTATGAATTATAGACTTGGATGTCTACTCTGAATTCAGATGAATCAGCAATAAAGACTGTAGTTGCAAGTGATGATGATTTGTTACTTACTCTGAAGGATTTGGTTTCTTTGGATAAGAGTAAGAATATATTAATATATTTGTGAATGTACATGAAAATATCTTTCATCACAATTTCCTCACTAGGTGAATCAAAAAGGGCATCATATAGTCTCTTCACGTCATATGATTCACTTAAAGAAGAGATTCGGCATATTGAACAACGTAAACAATCCGCTGTGTTGCACTTGGAAGAAGAATTGAGAGCTCAACAAGATTTTGTTGATAACTGGTCAGTTGAATAAAAAAACTAATGACTTTTTATAACAAGTCTTAATATTAATAATTTAATAATATAGTGCGCAGATCAGCCAAAATATGACTGCGATACTTTATAATAATTCACCGACGTCTGAATTAATATTGGCTCCAATAGTATATATGATTATCTTTTTTTTTATTTCTCGAGTTTACTGTCTGGTGAAAAAATAAGTAATCTTTTTTATACTTTTCAAATTAGGCATTGTCAGATTTGCAAATTTCATTACGTCGAAAAACTAATCGAATTCAGCCAAGACTGGGTCAAATTGCCAAAGTATTTGTTTTTAATGTAACATATGTGGTGTATTTTTATATTTACTATAACAGATTGCTCCAATTTTTTGTTTACTACTACATAGGAAATAACAAATAATGAACAGATAAAAAAACGCAAGGAAATGTTCAAATTATTCTATACTGATCCCGCCCGATTTAGGCAACATATGTAGCGATAGCAGGAAGTCTCGGATAAATAAAATTATTATTTATCGTTATTAGTATTATTATTATTTACACAATTTTGACAATATTTTCTAACAAGGAAACCCAATATAAATAAAAGCTGTTTTATATACATCAATAAAACCGGAGATCGACAGTAATTATCGAAAATTTTATCGGATTACGAAAATTTGCCGGTTATTTCAGGAAATCTTGAAAATAACGATTGTCTTGAGTGGTGGGGTATCCTTTTGCCAGCAGGGAAATCATAAACTCTATAACGAATCTACAATAGCAGTACTAGCAACAGTAGGAATAGTTATTTCTTTTGATGATACACTCGAGTTACCGCTAGTTTTATATTATCACTATGGCAAATATGTTCAACAAAAAAAAAGAACGACCGCCATCAATTAACGGCAGTGGACACCTATACACCCATGACGGGTCGAATGGTTCGTCTTCAAGTTCAGACAACTCCTTTTTCCCTTATTCGTATGCAAACGGAATCCCAGTAACAAACTACTATAGTCATAGCGAGGCTCCGGGTAGCAGTGATATAGCACAGCCACATCAACAGCAGCACCAGTCTCAAAACCAGCAAGAACAACAATCGAGTTATATCTCAAAACCCACATTTGGTCTAAATGACTTCGTTCTTTTAGAGACTCTGGGTAAGTAAAGGCTTGTTTTATTTGTTGATTTTTTTCGAGTTGATAAGCTTCGGCCTCGCATATTTCTTGCAAATCGACACATTAGCTATATATGCGTACTAGAAACAATGTTGTATCAATCATTGAATGTATCAGAAAGTAGAAGATGAGTTGATGATACAATGAATTAAAAGATTACATCACGAAAATTAGAAAAAGAAGCAAATTTACCCGTTTGAAAAAAAAAGTGAATAAAATAATACGTGTATTGTATAAATTCTAAATAATATTCTTAATTAGTAAAGAGTGTTATTTTAATTTCATCTTTACTAATAAAAATAGAATTTGCATATTTAAAATAATACAGGCACAGGGACTTTTGGACGTGTCTTTCTTACAAAATTCAAACACACAGAAAATTATTACGCAATGAAAGTACTAAAAAAGGTGGAAGTAGTACGGCTCAAGCAAGTCGAGCACATTAATTCCGAAAAACAAATTTTGGCTCAAGTGCATCATCCTTTTATCGTGAATTTGTAAGCTTATTCAGTGTATTTTAATGAGGTTTTGTGTGTATAATATTGATAACAATGTAACGATTAATTTTTATAATTAATAAAACTTATTAGATTTTGCACTTTTCAAGATGATCGAAATCTTTATATGTTACTGGAATATGTGATTGGCGGTGAACTTTTCTCGCATCTACGAAAAGCGGGACGTTTTAGTAACGATGTGACTCGATTTTATGCCGCGGAAATTATTCTAGCAATTGAATATTTACATTCAAAAGATATTATTTATCGTGATCTGAAGCCGGAAAATCTATTACTGGATTCAAGGGGGCATGTGAAAATTACCGATTTTGGATTTGCAAAAATAGTGGAAGATCGGTGAGTGTGTGTTATTTCTTTGTATTTGATTAAACACTTACACCGGAAATTTATGGTCATGTTTTTGTGCATTGTAAAGAACTTGGACACTTTGTGGCACACCAGAATACTTGGCACCGGAAATTATTCAAAGCAAAGGTCACGGAAAGGCTGTGGATTGGTGGGCGTTAGGGATTTTAATATTTGAAATGCTAGCTGGGTAAACTAATACTTAAATAAATGATAATGTTATTTGCTTTTTTCTTTTCTTTTAACTAACATTCATAGTCGATTTCCAGGTACCCGCCATTTTTCGACGATAATCCATTTGGCATTTACGAAAAAATCCTAGCCGGAAAAATACAATTCCCCTCTCACTTTGATCAAAATGCCAAAGACCTCATAAAACGCCTGCTGACTTCGGATCGTACAAAACGATTGGGTAATCTTCGAGGTGCAAGTGAAGACGTGAAAAAACACAAGTGGTTCCGCAATGTAGATTGGCAAGGTCTCTACGAGAGACGTACACAGGCGCCAATCGTGCCACCATTTCAACATTCTGGAGATACGAGTAATTTCGAAAAATATCAAGAACCGAGTGAGGAAGAAAATGTTATGGGAAAATCTGGGTCCGGTGTGGATCCATTTCGACATTTGTTTACGAGTTTTTGAATAATTATTCAGTAATCGATTAATTAATGAATTATCATCATTAATTTTTCGCGAAAAATAACCAAGAAAAAAAACACGAGAAAAAAATTTGATTTTGAGTTTATCCCTCTCTTTTTTCTTTCTCTTTGGTAGTAGTAACAAAAGAAATCAAACATCCAATGAACAAAGAATTTATTTCCCCCAAAGATTAATCAACCATCAACACACAAATTTTATATATCAACACCTCGACAACAATAACGGGTCTTAAGCATAATCATTCAGCTGTTTTTGATTTTGTATTTTTATTATTAATTTTTTTCCCTTTAAAAACAACAAACGAGCGAACTAACCAACCAACAACCACTAATTCCACCACCATCAACCATCACTGTGATATATTAATCAACTCACAAACATAATAATGAGACTGTTGGCGCGTGTACTTGGCACACTAATTAATTATGATACTTAAAATTATTAAAAGTTTGCTTCAAATTGGATATTCTGAATTTTTATATGTGAATTTAGTTAATTATTATTCTGTTCATAGCTACTTAGCGATTATTCAAGCGACTTTTTATTCCCTATCAAATAAAGAATGATTCGATAACATAATGCAAAATCAAATTTGAAACTGAGAAAATGTTGATTTTATTATCAATTAAATGTTTTTAATAATCGTGTTTGCGTAAATTCTAATTATAATAACACGTCGCAGCAAAATTGATGAATGTACCATTAAGTTATAATCATAATTATGAGAATAGTAATACAATATTAAACCCTATTATGAATCTTCACTTGTTCGTATTACTTTCGATTTAAACCACTCATTCCATTTTTCTTTTCGTAGAGTTCGATCTTGTTCTAATTTTTCAAGGTCAACAGGTGCATGAAATCTCGCGAAACTGTCTTCCGTGTGATTCACGAAAAATACATGATATGAATTGACACGAATTTTTATTTCAAGATTATTTCGGTATGAGACGTTTTTCATGTTTTTTTGTGTATCTAGATCCTTAATTATAGGCAAATTCCTAGATACAATAATTAATTATTAATTATTTGTATTGATGAGATGTATGTCTGAAGCACGAATTAAAACTATAAAATACCTTGAAAGGAATGGTCGTTTGGTTTTCAATGAAGCGCCATCAGTCGGATCTAGATTCATATAACTGTATACGTAATAAGCCCATCTTTCTTCAGCTGATACTGCATCACCTAAAGATCCATCTCTTCCCGATAATGCCATAGACATTGTTCTTTCATCTTTACGCTATATTAATATTAATTATTATAATAAATAAGCTGTGTATGTATACAAATGTAAAGCCAAACTACAGCAAAACTTACGTAGTCGATTCGATAAGTGTGATCTTCGTAGCCAATGATATTGTTAGCTTCTAACTGATACATAATCCTCGACCGAACAAAAGTTGACGGCTCACTTCGGCTCAGTGTATTTTGGTTGAATAAGGTCAAAAGCGAATTTGATTTTTGATCGTTGACTATAGTCGAAATCTTTGGAATGATAATAAGGAAAATAATTGATATTAGTGATCAAATTGTAATCCTAATTATCATAAGGATTTTCACTTTATTAATCTACTTACTTGTTTGACTAAACTAGAAACAAGTTTGTCAATTGTGAACATAACATAAGCCTTGGTGCCGTAAATTTGACGAACACGATCTTCATATTCAGTATTATCGTATTCAGCATCGAAGAACTTATCAATTAACTCCAGTAATACGAAATAAGGATCACCGACTGATTCGGGATCAAGATCTGCTATAAATACGCAAGATGTTTAGTCGAATGTATAGAAAAATTAAATAAAAACAGCTTACGTTCACGAAGGCCAAGTTGAACTGCTGCGGGAATTGAGGCTTTATCATGAGAAGCGTGTTTTGGTGGTGGTGTATTTTTCATTTGTTCGAGGCGGCTGAAAAGTAACTATTGTGAACAAAATTTGGGCCGATTATTAGATAATTCGCTGAAAAAAAGTTTATTTGGTCAAATGTATTTTTATACCTGTAAATATCTGAAAAAGCAGTAATAATGGCTGTTGCCAAAGAAACACGTAGATGTATTTCGTGGCTTGCCAATTCCAGCCTTGGACACCACTTCTTTAAGATCATCACGCGACGGCTTTGACATCTGAATCCAATGCGCATTCGCTGCTGATTCTGAGGACGAGTCTGCATTTTTTGAAGACCTTGCATCTCCCTCGTCATGATCTATCAGCATCTCAGTATCTTCATTCAATCCGTCAAAGAATGATGTGGGAAGTTCAAAGAAATTCATGACAAAAGATTTAAAGAATCTTTCGATTTTCTCTCGATCATTTGAAGGAACAAGTCCAGATCGTTCCATATACGAAAACAAAACATGCGCGCAATCTTTAAAGACTTCGACGTCACTAAACACAAATTTATATTGATATTCATTTGATTCTCCGTCTTCTCTTGGTTCGCGACGTATCGACTCAATATCACTTATAAGTGTTTTCGTAGCAAGTGTCTTTTTGTCTTCATTCTTGAAGGTGATGCCTTGATGATCAAGTGATTTATGATAATTCTTCATATCTACTTCACGCCAGATTTTGTTCCATTCTCTCTAATAAAATTAAAAAAATTTGAATTTATATTTACACAATTATTTATAAAATAATAAAGAGATGAAACCTGTGCTCTTCGCCATTCTTCATCCTTTTGCTTCAGCCGCCTCAAAATTACAGGAACAGCCATGGCTGGATTTGTATGTAACGCTTCCAATACTTCATTAAGCTTGTCACCATCGTAAACCTTTTTTATAACTCTTTGGTATGCCATTGATTGACCTCCGAGTCCAGGCAGAAGCTTGAATCTAGCTTTTTCTTCAGCATGCATTTTTGCGATTTTTCGGGCGATAGGTTCTAAAAGGGCAATCGTATTCAAATTATTATAGATGAACATGTCATACTCGTATCTGAATATAGAATGATTAAGTTAGGAGAGTATTTATACTTGATAAAACTACAGTAGGTCTTAATTAATTATGGCCTTTTCGAATTACCTTTCTTCTTCACATTTATGTAATGCTTCTTCGTAAATATTCTTTTTGTGTGATATGAACCCACCATCCTCACTAGCCCATGTCGGATAGGATACCCACTCATCATTCAAAACTTCACGTGCTATTTCGTCCATTCCAGATGAGGGCATGTTTGCTATTCGAAACTGTAAAAAGCAAAAGTCAATAAAGTCAATTATATCTTATAAAAATATAAACCTACCATACATAAAATAGTTCAATAATTACAGCATCTGGAAGTTTTCGATAACTGGGGCCAAAAGCTTTACAACTTTCCAAATCGAGACGAGGGCGCGAAACAGCAGTGTTTTGAACAATTTCATCCTGATCATCATATTTGATAAATTGCTTAAACCATTCAAAAAGTTCAGGGTTCGTGCCAATAAAAGTTCTCATGCGATCAACTACAAGCGGCGCATCCAGAATTTGATAGGTATAAAGGCCAATGACTTTAAGAAATTCAGTGTAATTCGTTTTATTCCCCAAAAACTTTTTAACTTTTTCAAAGAACAGGATTTCCTCGTTCGAAGCAGGTTGTCTTTGCGTTTGCTTCGATTGTTCATTTTTGGCTGGGGTTGAATTTGGACTAGCTTGCATGTTATCAGCAGAGGATTTATGTTGTAACTTGGATTTCTTTGTCTATTAGGGATCGAGAATAAAGGATAAATATATATTCACAATAATAAATTTGGAAACCTTGATCAACAAAATAGTTATAATACATACTTTGGCCTGTGAGTTATTATTTGCACCTCTATCATTAGTGGTGACTGTTCTTTTCTTTTTATTCGGACCAGAGACAGAACTTGTACTGGATGTAGCCCCATTGCTTTGTCCAATCAAAGCAGAAGATAAGGAAGATAAGGAAGACATTTTCTTAAAGGCTTCGCTCGTTCCTAATTGAGATTGAGGGAAATTACCAACAGGTGGTAAGCGATGTCCAATACCAGTAGCTAAGAATATGAGATATTGATTTTAGATTAGTATCGTCGAAATCAGAAATAAATATTATATTCTTTACTACTGACCAGTCGCCAAATTTGAGATAACCGGAGTTAAGACTTGATGTGGCGGCTTAGTAGGAGGACCATGAGATGGAGGCATATGTCCAAACAATCCACCGGGCGGGACATTTCCTGAAGTATCAGGAAGGAATTGTTTGAATTCGTCCAGCAAATCAGGTGCATTCTTAAAGAGAATCTGAACTTGCGAGTAAACCTATAAAACACTGAAAATTAAGTATTTTTAACTCAAAAAATCGAAAATGATCATTAAAGTGTACTAACTAACATCTTGAATAGGTTTTTGCTCTTTTTGATATGTTTGCAATATCTCTAAAAACTGTTTATATGTATCCGGTTCACTTGAGAATCGATTCTAATAAGGAATGTTACAATTAGAAAATCAATTAACATAATATTACATTGGATATTGAAATTTTAGAATAATGTAGGGAAAAATACTTTAATTTTATTGACATAATTGATAGCATGGTTAAATTCGACTGGGCCTCGTTTTCCCTGCACTTGATTTGGAGGTGTGCTGGCTACATTAGGACCTAATGCTTGTGGAGGCGCAGGTAAATAATGAGAAACAGTCTGCTGAGTCAATTGAGAATTCGGGATCGGTTGAAGAGCTGGCATCAATGCAGAAGAAGGTGGGGCATGCGGGTATGCAGTAGAAGGTGGATAAAATCCTGCTGTATTATTTGTAGACATTTGAGCTTGAGCGGCTGTTGCTGCTGTTGCCACAAGATGTGTTGTTGTGTTTGTTGCTCCGTCTACAGCAGCTCCTTCTGTCGATGTGCTAGTAGTTCCAGATGGAGTCGTAACACGAATTGTATTAGGCTCGTGAGGATTGTTAGAGCATTCAATGTGATAGCCAGGCGGTAAAAATGTATTAAACCCTTGAATGAGTGAAGGGTGGCCTTTAAAGAGTGACGAAACTCTGTCTATCACACCAGGTGTATCTATAGTTTGACTTTTAAAGTCTTTCATAATATCCAGAAATCGGTTATAAACTTCTGGTTGGTCAGAGAACTGTACTTTAACTTGGTCGAGATAGGTTAAGGCATCCTTTACATTCAACGGCCTGTATGCCGACATTCTTTATCTGCTGGCAAGAATGAGTAATTCGTGTGCGTATGTGTTTGTTCTTGTTGAGTGATTTAGAATGAGAAAAATAACAATTTTTTTTAGATGGTTGACAACAATTCAATCTTAAAATGGACCAAATTCATTAGTGTGTCAATGCTGGCCGGCTCTAGAGTTTATGCATAATTCTAGTTGCTGATAATTTGGACCAATTGGACATAATAAACTGCGCCACATTTATAAAATTTTACAATTTGCATGTAAAACAAATGTTATATCACACTCTCAGAACCAGAGAAAAGTGACTTTAAAGAGGTTATATAAAACGTGATTATGTAGAGTATAAAATTCTAAAATATAATAACCAGTTTGAACGGAACATTTTGTCCGATTTCTAAATCAAAAAAATTCATTTGTCACATTTTCATTTGCTCCGTTCGGGGATGCGTTAAAGCATTGTACCTTCAGGTAATCCATCCAATGAGGATGTGAAAATTTTGTTGATCACCAATAAGAATGCACAAATTTTGATCAAAATGCGAATAATGTGAAAAATACGGAAAACGAATGGATAAACCTGGCTTGAAAGATTAATTAAAGATTTCGGGAAGACAATTTTACATATATATAACCTTTACCCCAATCCTAACCCTAACCCTTATCCTGATCTTATAAAGCTTGACCGGTGATTGATCACGTGGGTACAACGCTTTAACCCATCTCTACGTTCGCTCATCGTTATAACAAAACTAGATTCTTTAGCTATTTCAATGGTTGAATTTCCTCTTCCTTTTCATTATTCTCGTGACTCATTATTTTGTGTTTTGAACAAGAATATCAATATCAAACTAAAATTGAAAACTAATATTCTCGGCTTTGTTTTTTATACGGCGAAAAAAGTGTCAGATCATGTGATAGTTGTGTATGTCCGGAAAAATTATACGGTAATGAAGATTATTGTTAGGTTAATTTAAATTATTCCGAAATAAATTCAGGCTCAGGGGTCGTGACCTTCGAGGCTTATTTGTGAGACAGTCGCGACGTGTCAAACAGATACGCTGTTTTTAAAAACAATGTCTGACGACTATTTTAACCGAAATTTTGCAGAATGGAAATTTTTGATTTTTTGCTCCTCTTTTGAAATTCTGCACGTGTGATCTGATTGTTTGTATAAACTATAAAAAGGTAAACGACTATTTCCTACCAAAAAAATTTTTGGACCTGCAAAACCAAACATGTCTAACACTGCACTTCCGTCTGTTGAAATACTTAAGAAATGAAGTCCGGAAGTTACTTTCCTAAATTTTAAGAAAGACGAGTTGTTCCTTAAGGAAAAGTACATCAGATCAAGAGGTCACCGGCTCAGCATTCCTTCTATTTACCGAAGACAAACTTGCTCGTCCTTACAATCTTCCTGGTGGTCCAGTAACAAATATCGGAGAGTTAGTCAACAAAATAACTTAGTTAGCAGCTAATAAGCAGATAACATAATAATCCCCCTTAGGGAATTGCCACCACGCGGCAACATGCATCAACATTATCTATTAGCAATGCCATCGCCTCGAAAAACCTGTTGTCTAAGGGCGAAGAGCAAGTAAGTACCACGACTGCATTCAAATATTCTAAACCTATACTGCTTTCTCCGCTGGGGAATGTTTCAGTATACTTTTTTGAAATGTTAATATATATTTTTGTTTGCTTTATCAAGGACAAGAGATGGTGAAAACTCATAAGAACGCGTACAAAATAGTTCAATGTCTTCCTGCACTCATTCAGATTTCTAATTAATCATTTTTCTTTAAACACCAGTTGAAGATGTCATATCTAGTTCACTTAAACAGTTTGATGGGAAGATAAAGGATCGAGACTTCATTGAGCCAATGATTACTATTACATTAAATGTTTCTAATAATCTTAAGAGCTTGACTGCCAAGACAGATTTTTGCATTCTTATTAGTGATGGAGCCCCTGGCATTGATATGACTCTTTGCATTGTTCAAGATATATATTATTGAATTATATCAAATATAATCATATTGATTATAATATTTTGCATTTGCTTGTATTATTAAAAGAAAAAGAAAAAATAATAATCAATTGATAATTGAGAAAAATAATTTTAAAGATAATAATTTCTCTTATTCAAATAGAATATTAAAATTGAAATGATAACAAATATCTTTTGGTGTTTATCAAAAAGAGATAAACATGATATTATAGTTTTTTTTTATAGATATTGTTGTAATATAAAATTTGACATATTATATAATTTAATTTATTTAATTATTGAATAATTAATTTACATGTGATTTGTAGATTATATTTCCTTTTATTTTATATTATTCACTTTTATTTTATATTATTTATAAATTAGTTATATTAATTTAATTTATATTATTTTAATTTATTTTATATTATTGTTAATAATTTCATATTAAATAATTTTAGAATGAAAACAACATGTTATTTAATTAATATTATTTAATTTAATTAAGATTAATTATAAATTATATATAATATTAAAGTGAATGATATATAATAATCAAATGAACAAGCAAACAAAGTGAACAAGTGTTTTTATATAATAATATTATTAATAAAATTTAGTTTTAAAACTTAATGATTGAGTAACAAATAATTTATATAAACATAATATATTTTAGCTTTAAAAAATAAGTTTTTAAGAAGTAGTTTTACTTTTGATTATTTTATTTTTTTTAATAATTTTTTAAATATTT